TTATTTAATTATATTTTTTTTCATTTAATTCTGTTTTAAGTTACAGTTAAATTTAAGGTTGCAATTACATAGGTGGCCGACGTAAGTATTTATCTTAGGTCAGTTTATGGGCCGAGATGGGCTTTGGCTTAAGGTTACATGGATTAGGGTTTAATCACTAAGCCTATAAGTATGTGTCTCACGGTGGTTTAGGGTTTGAGAATAATTAACCGGAATTTCTGTAAAAACAACAGAGACCATGAGATACAGAGAGAGAGAAATAGAGAGCAGTTGTGGGAAAACAGAGTGAGGCTTAAGAGGATTTGTACAGAGAGGACCAAAGCGGTTGAGTAAGGATTAGAGACAGAGTTATAGGAAGCTTGGCGGTGTTCAGAATTGCAGGAAAACTTAGAGACGACACAGGGATTTCATAATTGAAATCATAGGCAAGTTCTTCTCTTTCTCCTTCCCTTTGGCTCGTGTTCTGTGCACCTAGATAGTCTCTAGGGATTAACTAATTAGTAAATGAAACTTATGTGTTCAATGTATGCTTGTTGATGATTTGTTTGCATTGAATCCAAATCTGTTTATAGTTCGTGTATTGTTGCTTCCTGTTCTGTTCATTAAAGCATATTAAAAATCTGTTGAGTTTTGGTTATGATTCTTGCCTCTATCTTCTGTAAACAAACCCTAGGGATGTTAATGGGATGTTATAAGACTCCTAAGATCAGTTTGTGAAGAGAAACAAAGAGGTTGGAATAGAATTATAATTTCGGTTTGGTTCCTAACGCAGGTTAGTTTGGTAGCAAATTTAGTCTCTGTAATTGTTTTTAATTGTTGTTATCAAGCCATTAGGATGCTACTGGGTATTAATAGGACACCTAAGTTTGGTTTTAAAAACTAACAGAGGGTTAGGAATAAGCCGGAGAAGGAGCACAAGAGCTGAAACGACGCACCGGGGACGATGGCTCTCAAAGGAAGTGAGAGCCGGCTCCATAGAAGTGGGAGCCGGCTCCCACAACAAAGTGGAGCCGGCTCTAGGGAGTCCTAGAGCCGGCTCTAGGCTGGAAAAGAGCTTGCTCCAAATTCTGGAGCAGGCTCCCTTGTTATTTTGATTTATTTTACGGTTTTTTTTTAATTTTCTACATACTATGTTCACTGTTGGAGCATGGAGACTGTTTGAATGAATCTGGAACTTTACAGAGGGATCAAGGAATGGATTTTGAGTGTTATTAAGACCCTAAATTGAGTAAAGTTTAATTCTAAGTTGTCGGGACAAACAGTGTAAAAATTAAGGCACTTAACAAATGGAAGTTGAATAAATTGCTGAATTAAAATTCAGCAATTGGATGGAACATAATGTGTTTATAAAACTTGTTTTAGAATGCATTCAAGTGCATGATAAGGTCATTTAATTATTAATTTTGATCTATGCATGCTTAGGAGGCTAGTTGCTGAATTATTAAATTGTTTACTGCAACTATATGGTTAATGCTTGGATTTAAACTGCTGAAATATTTAAACAATCTTCTGAATTGTTTTAGCAATTTATTGGTTAATAATAGGATTATTTAACCTATTCACATGCATGATGGAGTCCCTGACATATTAAATTTGGTCTATGCATGCTCTGTATGTTAGTTGTTGATTTATTAAATCGTCTCCTGCAACTATATGGTTAAATGCTTGGATTTAAATTGCTGAAGCTTTAAATATTTTTCTGCAATTGTTTGGATGGTAGTTTTTGGTCTGTAAATTATTGAACTATTATATATGTTGTAATTTACATGGATATGGAGGATGGTATGTACCGGTATGGGACGGTGACATACTAGGGACGGTTTAGCTCAAAACGCATAAACCTAACCTAATGGATTAATGGAATGGATTGAAAGATATCGAATCCTAATTGTCGCTAAGTCAGATCAGCTGTAAACAAGTTGGATGACTTCCTGGATTAACGGATGGTAGTTAAGTCATATCAACTGAATAAGTTGAATGACTAACTAATTGGTTTATTGTATGACAGTTTAATAAATAGTTGAACTGCATACCCTGGATTTGGACGGACTCTATATATATGGTTATGGTACCACGAGTTGAGCTTGAGTCTCAGACTCGTTGGTTAGGGTGCGTATATGCAGTGGATGCGTAGCTAGTTATAATAGGTTGAGGTGTACCATGTTAGGTCTAGGTACTCATGCCCACCTTTGGGTGCGTATTCGCATGTTGCCTTCTATTCAGGTTGAGACCCCTATTATAGACTGGTGAATGTCCCTTAGTGTGGATATATTTATACGTATGGACTAGATAGATATTGTGAGGTGTCTACGGTGTATCTGCGTATCGGGTCACTGTATGGATTGCAGTTAGATTAGAACTTGCTCGTGGGTCTGACCCACTCCTTTATTATTCTTTTCAGGTACAGGACGATTCCAGCCTTAGAGCTTGATCGTGCTTGTCGAGGACAGTCTCACCTTCATCTGATTACGTAGGACTTCTCTCGATATTTCTAGCATTATCTATTTTCAGTTTTCAGTTTCAATTGAACTTTTGGTTAGGGGTCCATCAGTGGATTCCCAAGTTGTAACCTTGAAGTTTTGGAGGATTGGATTTTCAATTTTCAGTTATACATGGAGGATTTTATACTTAATGTTACTTTCAGTTTTATTCCATCACTTTTGGTTTCATTTTGTCATATGTGTTCGCTTTAAAATACTTTAATTGTTTGATATTCCCTCGGGTTTGGGCCCGGGCCTGATCAACCCGTGTCTCGGATCCGAGGGGTATCACACTTAAAGGGGGTCACGAGCCATGAGTGATCATAGGAAGTTGATTTTGTTGCATTAGAGTACAAGATATTTCTTTATCTGGAGTTTTTGTTGATATACGTGCATTATTTAGATATAAGCTATCTAGTTGCATATAATATCCAGGATTCTTTCTTGAACTTGTCTGTTATAACATGCTTTGGATTATAGTGTTTTGCAATCATGCATTCCACTTAGTCTTTATTACATGACATGCCTGCTTCTTGAGTCCTAGGTTGACAGTTGTAATAATTTTATGCTCCATGTTATGCTACTTACTCCATTTGATCTTCACTGTTGCACTTGTAGACATTCTTGCTTAGGAATTGATACGATGTCATCCTAGGGTCTACTTGCTATGTCATTACAGCATCTACTTGAGTTTTAGTTTTGTGAATGCACGTTGCATCATTTGTACACATAATAGCCTATGCTTGCCCTGTTGATCATATTCTTGTTCTAAATGTTCTAAATGTGACTTTTCTACCCTCTATGCCGTCACTGCGTTGCTTATTATGCTTTGATCTATCCTGTCTAGTTGAGGCATGTTGAATGATAATTCTGAAGCTTTCTTAATCATTTCTTGCAGAAGCATTATCTTAACTGTCTATTCTCTATTTCTATTTAATTTAGGCATGCTTTGTGTTTTCTTATCAGTTGCTTACCTTATTCTCTACCTATGCACTAATTTACTCTTGTTGTTTTTGCAGATGTAGTGCAAATAAAAGACTTTTGCTAGAAAGCGAGTACAGAGAGCTAGACAGCCTCCTCCTCTATCTCCAGTGGCAAATTTTTCTTCATCATCTTTATCTTCTACATCACTCCATTCTGAGCTATCTTCCATGGATGCTGAGCACCCTATTATTTGAGAGGTCCCTACTGAGTCTTATACCAGTAGGAAGCAGGAAATCGAGTACAGATTTGATCGTGATCTATTCTCTACATTGGACCAGACCAAGTAGTCCTATGATGAGCTTGTGCGGAGGGGCATTGATAACATTATGACACCATCAGACACAGTTGTCTATCCCTGGTTAGTTGCACTATTCTACCAGCACCTCTAGATGGATGAGGATGACGTACTTCTTTTACATACCACCATTGGTGGTCAGGAGATCGATATTTCTATCCCAGCCATAGCTGATTCTTGTCGATGCCCCCACACTTTTCCATTGGCTGCTGATTCTCAGGATCCCTTTTATCCTAGTACTCCACCTTTTCCCACTAAGTTGATTATGGTAGCTACATTATCTCTATATGCTGCATTTGAGGGCAACACCTTTGCAGACCAAGTCGAGATTGATCCCCGGTATTGGTTCATTGACTCCGTGTTGTACCTCAATGCCTTTCCATCAGACCATGGTACTCAGAGGTGAAAGGGGATCTTTCAGGCTCTATACTGCTTGAGTCAGGGTTATTGGATGATGCGTACAAATGTGTACCACTTAAAAATACCACTTATAACAATAGCACATACAGCATTGTAGATTAATGCTATAGTAGGGGGTTGTCGAACCACAAGGATTGCTAGTTTATGGCAAATAGAATTGTAATATTACTTTCTAGTTTGATAAAATAGATGATAGTTTGATTGGTTTGTCACTTAACCTATGAATTTAAATTGCATAAAATAGTAAATAAATTGAATAGAAAAGATTGAACTTATAAAGAGAAGGCTAGGGAATTGACTTCACCTCAGCCTCATAAACATGTTAACTTGCACTCAACTTGGGGATAAACAACTATATATACATAAAATGATGTGTAGAAGTATAAAATGACCACAATATCTTCAAGAAAGTCATACATTTCAGGATTAAGCATAACCCATCTTTGGTTGGCATGGTTTATCCACCTAAATTAGGTTGTGGTATGAACCATCTTCCCTAGGCATGGCCTATCAAAGTTCTTCAATGGTATGTTGCACAGCATATGAAATCAGTTATATATCATAAATTATCTTCAGTTGGTATGCACCATCTACCTAACTAAATTAATCTAAAGGTGTAGCATGGTCCATCTTCCTTAAGAATAATCTATATAAATACTCAATTACATGCCAATATAACCATTCTATAAATTCTTTCCCATTGTCACTATAGGAAATCAAGTGTATAATTGTGTCAATGTGATTTCTAAGGCAAGATAAACATATCAACATAATTATATATTCAAATGAAAATCACATACATTAATTCAATGTAGAACACATTAATTCAATGTAAACACTTCTAATTTATGAAATTAAATATATACAAGAAGAATCCCTAAATTGAAATACAAATTAATACATGTTTATTTGGTCTAAGTTACATTAACTCCTTATAAATGAAGTTAGCCTCTCATAGATTTGGTAGCAACTTCAAGGATTGAAGAAGAAAAAGATTTCCCTTTTTCACCCATTGTTGCAAAACTCAGCATAAGAACCCTAAGGAAAATCCTCTCCCTCACAATATATTTTTAGAATCCAAAACTCTATCTTTTAATTCAAGCCTTTGCACCCTCTTTATCCCCAGATGAGTTTCAAAACAAAACAACTCGTCAAAATTCAAAATCCCACTTAAGATGGAACAAACTCTGACTTATTCAAAATGAGGGCCCGTAGCCTTGCGTCCGGATGCGATGTATGGCGTCTGGACGCAAAGCCCTACTAGTTGGCGTCTAGACGCCAGTTTCTGCGTCCGGATGCGAAGTATTGCTAGGTGGCGTCCGGACGCCAATTCTTACATCCGGACGCGAAGCATGTTGCTTGGCTTATTCTTTTCTTTTATAGTGCTGGTTGTATCCATTGCCTGTTTGGGCCATTTCTTCTTAAAAACCACTTGACGTTTAGGCCTGATATGACTTATGCTCTAAAAACCCTTGAAACCTTATTTTTATTCCTTTTTAGCAATTAGACCTGTAAAAACACAAAAACATAAAAATGGAATTAATTTATATACACAGATCAAACAATGGGCTTAACTAATGCAATTAAGGGTGATTAAATATGCAATATTTGACGTTTATCATTAGATCTCTATCCCTGCACTTATTTGGGAGCTCATACACAAGTTCTGGAAGAATTTACATCATACACACAGTTATTGAGCTGTGACTTGGCCTTTACCTTATGGCCACTTGATTACACAACTACTACTTGATCAGGGTTATTAGTTTGACCCGAATGAGATTCAGAGACTGATGCAGAGAGAGAGAAAGGAGAGTATATGATCAGGCTAGGTGGACGAAGCTTACAATTCATGCCTTAAGAATAGGAAAAATAGAGATATGAAGAGACTGCAGGCGCAGTAGAGAGCAGCAGAGGAAACAGCTGCAGCAGACGACGCTCTAGAGGATGCTACAGCAGATAGATCTCCCCCCAGACAGAGGCGTCGCATTACCATTTCAGGTTCTACCTCACAGCCAGATGTACCTACTACATCTCAACCGGCTGGCACTTCACATGTCCCTCCCACCGAGCAGATAGCACAAACCGACACTCAATCTCGCCATACCAGTACTGATTCTAAGTATAGATCTTAGGTAGCTCAGCTGCACATAGATTTCATTTCTTTCAAAGCTGATATGAGTGGGTGGCATGACGTAATACCCCTAGTTGGGGTATCACACATGTGGATGTCACAAAGTGGCATGATAATCTGGGGAGCCGACATTATGACCTGGTAGGGAGACACGATGATTTGGTCAGGTGATCTGATGACCTGAGAGTAGACGTAACTGAGGTGAGGCGTGAGCTTGGAGCATTGAGGATAGATTTTACGACTTCTCTCACTCGCCATAGCAAGGAGATGTTTGACATGCTGCAGTACATTGCTGATATTATGACTACAGATCTTGTTCCCTGAGTCCACCACTTTCCCTCTCTCCTACTCATTATCTGTCATTGATACTTGCACTGTTATTGCTGAGATATTTTTGCACTATCTTGACACTTGCACTGGTTTTGGATATTCTGGATATTTTTGATATTATTTCTTGCACTGCATTTGTTATATATTGATTTATAGATACTGATTTTGGATTTACTTGCTATATATGGATTTTTGATATCAGTTTTCGATATTCTGAGCTTTACATTACTAGATGCCATGATTTTTGCCCAGTTCTTAGTTTCACCTTTCATTTATATCATTGATGCATATGCTTTGACAGTTGTTAATGTGACCATTTTTAGACAGGTTTTCAGAATCTAAGTTTGGAGGTGCGCCTTCCAAAGCTAAGCTTTCGTTGCCGGGTCCCTTTTACTTCACCCATTTAGTATACTCTTTCCATTATCTGTTGCTTCTTTGCACATTGAGGATAATGTACAGATTAAGTTTTGGGGTGTGTTAACATATTTTACATGTCACACTTGATTTCTATGTATGTGGTATGATTTGAGAGTCCTGGGCTATGATTTTGATCTTTTGAGGACCATGATACTAAAAAATTAAAAATTGCTTGACTTGAGAGTCCAATACTCCTTGTATGCTTTGTGGATGCCATTTAGGAGTAAATTTTTTGAAAGATTGATATTTTGCTTGCAGTTGTGGTCTACATCATCTTGATACTGTGATTATTTTAAGATTCACTCTAGGATTCTACACTAGCACATGCGTATACTAGTATTCATTTGTGGGGTACATGCTTTGTTGATTATTGATTTGGTTATATCCCAATTGAGCTAGTAGTGTATTGAAAACTTTTATCTTAACAAAAGTGGATAACAATCCCTTTTCATTGAGTAACCGGGATTCTAGTCTCATCAAACACTGAATTTTTCGCGCCGAAAGGTGGAAGCCCAAACTCTAGGTTAACAATTAAAAAAAAAAAAAGGGTTGAAAAAGGAAATAAAAAAGTGAGGACTTCTCCCCGAAGGTGAGAAGTGGGAAATGATTAGATGGAGGTAGTTTTGATTTGTAGCCTAATTGATTTGAGCTTGTAAGTCCTTAGGGGTGTTTAAACACTTAATGCCTTAAAGCCGTCCGGTTTTGGAGTCATTGACCTAATGCTCGACCTCATATATCGCTAGAAAGCTTAATAGATCACTACATTGCACCATGCTCCTATTTTTGATCCTCTAGGTTAGTTAAAAAAAAAAAAAAAATCGAGTGAAAAGATGTCACGCTCCGAATTTTCTAAATAAATTCCTCGATTTATTCAAATCCAAATACATCAGTATTACAGCCAGGATCTCAAAAATAATAAAATATCATTCTATTGATACTAAATTAATTCCTCAAATAAATAATATACAATATCTCCAAATAAATTAAATTAAATCCTCAACACCAATTCCTTCACCTAAGCCCGCTACTATCAATCCAAGCTCATCCTCGGTACCTGAAACTGTAGGTGGGTGAGGCAGTAGGAAAAACCATAACAAAGATTTCAAGAAGTTTCATGCAAAATTAATTTCACAAAAATATACATATACATTTAAACAAAAATACGTATATACAATTTAAACAAAAGAGCAATCATTAAAATATTTGAAACAAATCATCCAAGCTTTTCAAGGTATGATGATTCCTACTCTGCAAAATAAATAATAGCTTATCTGATCATAAAGCCTCAAAGCTCACAGCCTCTGTAAACCCTCGGCTTTCTTTCTCCGTGTGTCTTGCCTTTATCTCTCTCTGTTCTCTAATTCCTCTATTTTCTTATTCTCTGTATCATCATCAAGCTAGTAACATATATTGGAATTTCTACCGACACACCCAACTGCTCACCATCACACCTAAAAAAGGAGACAGAAAATATCATTTTACTTTAGCCAAAATATCAACTAGGGGTCCCGCACCCAAGCCTTCTTCCTTGTCATAACTTTCTCTTCATTACATTGCTTTATATATCACCAAAAACTGCCCACGTGAATTGCCTAAAGCCAAGACTTTTGGCCAAAAATCTATTGCGTGGGCCCCACCCAAAAATCATTTCAATTTCCTTTCTTTCTCTGAATTCGGCTGGCAGCCCATTTGCTTTCATTTCCATTTGATACAAAATACTACATATATATATATATAATGTATACAATGTGACAAAATCAAAATCAAATCCATTAATCACCTAAGACCCGCCACCCACCAAATTTTTTTATTTTTTATTATTATTTTTTTCTTTAGTTCTTTTCTCTTTTCTGTTTTTTTTTTTTGTTTCTTATCTTTCTCCATTTCGGCAGCCTCACATGCCCACCTTCATCAACAGGCAACATATATATATATACATATGTATATGTATGCACAAAAACAAATCAAGTCCTATCACCTCTTCAGACCAAATTTCTCATCTCTCTAATATGATCTAAATGCAAAATACATATACATCAATATATATTCAAGAACAATGCTTCCACGAAAATACATTAAAATCAATTACCCATTTCTCTTCCTTTAATTCGGCTCCACCTACTCTATCTTCAATAGATACAAAAATATATATTTATCATACATATTAAATTGCAGCAAAAGAATCCATTTGACCCATTAAAAAATTTCAATTGGGTAAATCTCTAATTTAAATAAATAATCAATCTCTGAAACTAAAAAGTCATGAAATAATTATAATTTCAACTCTTAAAAATTCGGGTTGTTACAAAAGAATAAGCGCACCTAGTTGAATAAAACTTTAATAAAAGGTCCACTCTTTGTCTTGATGATTGATACTAGATTTGTGTGCTAGTTTGAGGCCGGATGTGATCATTTTTTTAGTTAGCTTAGATAACAACATATTTAATGTCGGTTCACTTAAAAAAGATTTTAGAGTTGTTTTGATTTGCATGATCATTGTCTTGATGTATGGAGGACCATATTTGCTTGCTTTGTGTTGAAATTTTCGGAGATTGCTTGGAAATGATTAAAAAATTGTATAGTTGAGGTAATTTTCTCCCAATACTTGTTTTGTACATTAGTGCCTCTTTAGTGAGAAAGAGCTCAATGTTTGTGGGTATCATTTCTAGAAACCCTCACGAGGCTTCACTCGTCAACTTGGGGTAACCTAGGGGTTTAATTGGCTTGTTGTATACGCTAAATACAATCGTGTTTTCTACGAAAGTGGCGTTATCATTTCATTACTTTTTAGTTCATAGTTACTTAGTTGTTTATTTCTTTCTTTTTCTTGTAGTTCATTGCTAGGGACTAGCAATATCTAAGTTTAGGGGTGTGATGAGTGCTCAAATGTGACGATTTTAGCACCTAAGCTAGGGTATTTAAGTCTATTCATCTATCTTACTTTCAAGTCTTAGTACTTATTTGTGTTTTTGTCTATTTTAGGTTAATAAAGTTCAAACAGGTTAACAAGAGCCATTTAGCCCAATTTTGGAGCTAAGGAGCAAAGTTCGAAAGAACCTAAGAAAATTGCACCAGAGGAATTTCGATCAATTGAAGGGAATCCCGATCGATCGAAGTTGAGGCAATGCCAGCTCAGCAAAGTGGGTAAGGCCCAGAAGATATTTTGATGCCATGTCATCTTCAATCAATCAAAGCTAAGTGTTTGATTAATAAAAGATCTTCGATCGATCGAACTGCCTGCTGACAGTGTGCTGTCTAATTCTTGAGCGCGCTGATCTTCACTTAACTTGAGTAGCTATGAATTTCCTCCAATCATAGGCTGTAATTCTAACTTGGTGACTACTCAAAGAGGCTTGTAATGAATTAATTGAACATTATCTTATATCATTCATAGGAGTAGATATTTTTTTTATCAATATAGAAATAGTTTTCTCTAGAACTAGGGTTTTGGAAAGAAAAGTAAGGATGAAGATGATGATGCCAACCTCCAAGCTAGCCCTTGAGGGTTCCATGACCACTACAATGAGTGGCTAAATCCTTCACTTGGGGCTAGAGATAGCCCCTAAGTTTGCTTCTTAGACCTAGTCTTTCGTACATTTTTGGGTATTTTAGTTGTAATAAATGTTTTGACCTTGAATAAATATAGATCTTATGATTTTTACTTGATTTGTATGGATTAATGCTTTTAATTGATCATTTATTTCTATCCATATGTCTATGTATGCTAGAATGAATATTCATGTGTTTTACTCTAGATTTAATGAAATTAATGCATGTCTATGTGTATTGATATTGTTAATCTAGTAATGGTCAAAGCATAGTGCTTAATTGAATACTCTTGTGGTTTATTTGATGGCTCACACTTGTTTCTTGATGGATTATGCCACACCCTTAGTTTAATTAACTTAATTTTCATGTCACTAGCCTAGATGTAGTGTAATTGCTTTAATTTCTTAGATAGGTGGATAATCCATTCTTGTTGCTTAATGTTCCATACTTATGAGTGCAAAGAGTACATTTCTCTAGATTATTGTGTGTGTACTAATTGTGGTTTAATTGAATGGTGTATGGTCGCATTTGATAGGTTGTGCTATTCACTAGATTGACTAGACAATCTATGCTTAATTACTATCCATGCTTGGTTTTCAATTAGTGACACACACATATTTTACAACTTAAATTTTCCCATTAATATACAATTGCTAGTGTTTGGTGAAGTGAAGCTTAGTGGTGAACTCTAAGCCCTAAGACCTCTCACTCATTTATTTTTCCCCTAATCTCTAGATTATTGCTCTCTTGTATTGTTTTAATTGAACCCTAGTTTAATCAAATCAAACCATTTTTTGATCATTCGACCTACTAATCCAACAATTGATTCCAAAACACATTTCCTTTCACTTGGGACGATCCCTACTTAGTTTAGCTACTTTAATAGTTAGTAGTGATAGTGGCATTCTATAAATTCAAACTTGGCCACACTACACACTTTATTGTGCAATTTGGGTGTCTCGACACGACACTAGCAATTGTACGCTAGATACGGGAGACATTTCTTGTGGAACTTCAAGAATATCTTCATTTTCATTTTCTTGATTTCTTGATTCTTCATTGAAAGTGGTGATTTGATCTTGAACTTTCTTCTCTTTCCAATCTCAAGTAGCCTTCTCATTAAAGAGAACATCTCTATAAATAATCAATTTATGTTTGTTCAAATTGAAGAGTCTATAGCCCTTTGATTTTGAGCTATAACCCACAAAGATGCATGTTTCACTAGCTTCATCAAGTTTGTGGCTCACTTCTCTTGGAACATAAGCAAAACAAAGACACCCTAAGACTTTCAAGTGGTTTAATGATAACTTCCTTCCACTCTATGCTTCAAATGTAGTTTTATTCTCCATTGCTTTTGTTAAACTCCTATTTATCAATTAAACAGCTGTATACACGGCTTCACCCTAAAATGATTTAGGTAGCCCCTTCTCGTGAAGTATTGATTTTCCTATCTCAAAAATTATTCTATTTTTTCTTTCTGACACTCCATTTTGTTGTGGAGTGTACCCAACTGTTAATTGCCTCTCTAAGCCAATATATTCATAAAACTTTTCAAAATCATTTGAGTTGTTCTCTCCACCTCTATCACTTCTTAACACTTTGATAAGATGGCCACTTTGCCTTTCAATAAGCTTTTGAAATTTTTTGAAAATAGAGAACACATCTGATTTTTGTTTCATGAAATAAATCCATGTTATTCTTGAAAAATCATCAACGAAAATAATAAAATACTTGTTACCCATATGAGTTGGTGTTGTTATCGGTCTATACACATTGGTATGAACAACCTCCAATGGTGCTTTAGCCCTCCATGCCTTCTCTTTTGGAAATGACTCTCAATAATGCTTGCTAAGAGCACAACCTTCACAAACTTCTTTAACTTCTTGTATTGTTGGTAGCCCATACACCATGCTATTTTGTTGTAAATTCTTTATGCTTTGGAAATTCAAATGCCCAAGCCTTCTATGCCAAAGGCATGACTCATCAACAACATCCATCTTCAAGGCCATATTTTTTTAACATGAAAAAGTGAGAGGAAAGCTTCTATTTTTCCCCATCTTGATTTTTGTCACAATATGATTTTGTCCTCTCTTGTTATAAATTTTGCAAGAGTCCTCATCAAAATGAATAAAGTACCCATGCTCTAAAAGTTGCCCAACACTTAACAAATTTTGCTCCAAATCCGGAACAAGTAACACATCCTGAATATGTTTTCTTCCTTTCTTTGTCTCTATGGTAATAGTACATTTTCCCTTTGCTTGGACCAAGGCACCATTTCCGATCCTCACTTGAGAATTTGATGAAGAATAAATCTCCAAGAATATGTTTTTATCTCCGGTCATGTGGTTACTACACCCACTATCAAGAAACCATATATCGTGTTTTTGTTCTAATGCCGTGTGATAAGCATAAAAATATGCTCGCTTCACCTTCTTGCTCTTCAAAAAAATTAGCTTGCTGATTTGTTTTTAACCGACAATCTTTTTGAACATGTCCAAATTTCTTGCAATTAAAACATTGAGGTTTTCCCTGAAACCAACAATCTTTGTCAACATGGCTACTTTTCTTGTAAATTTCACATTTTTGTTGAGTGGACTCTATATTTCCACTTCTCTCAAAAATATTTCTTCCTCTTCCTCTTGAATTTCTTCCTCTTCTTCTTCCTCTTCCTCTTCCGTGTCTTCCACCTTTGGAAGATTCACCTTTGGATCGATCAAAACTTGATGGGTATTTTTTTTGATTTTTGGAACTAACATTGGGCTTGGATTGAAAAGCACTTTCAATTGTCTTTTTGGAGCACCTACTTAACCTTTGCTCAAATTATTTTATAAAACCCATTAATTCTTCAACACTCAAGTTTTCAAGCTCTTTAGTCTTTTCAATAATAGTAACAATGAGGTTATATTTTTCTGGCAAACTAGTTAGAATTTTTTCAACAATTCTTTGATTAAAAATATTTTCCCCATAGGTCTTCATTTTATTTACCACTTCCATAAGTTTAGAAAAATAATCTTTCAACAATTCCATTTATTTCATCTTCATATTTTCAAAATCTCTTCTCAAAGATTGGAGTTTTACAGTTCTTACCTTTGTGTTGCTTCTA